TGGTGGGCGCTCAGTGATATTTGTAAAATGAGAGAGAATTCCAAGGAACTGGAAACCCGTAATGGCTGCTACCATTTCCTGGTGTCTGCTGGTTGCCAGACCAGTCACGATGACCACATGTGTTAGGTGTCATCTCCACTTACCAATGAGGAAACCGAGGCTCGGAGGAGTGGCAACAGCAAGTGGAAGTGAAGATGGGACCTTCATCCTTGTGCCAACTCCAGAACCGTGGCACAGCCAAGTCTGAGTCAGTGGCTGTGCTGACACTGGCATTTGTTTTTTAGTGTTTGTATTAGTCAGAGTGCTCCAGAGAAACACAACCAATAGGACGTACCTATACCCTGTATCTGTATTTACCCATATAGAAAATTGTCTGGGAAAAATTTTCTCTGTACCTCTACACAGTTATCTATCTATCTATCGATCTATGAATGTAGATATATATATATATAGGATACAGGTTGTTGAATATATCTATAGAGATACATCCTATCAGTTTTGTTTCATTCTGTATATAAATATCTACATGTATCTATATCAGAGGAGCTTTATCATGGGAATTGGTTCTCAAGATGACGGAGATCAAGAGTCCCACGGCCACCATCCCCGAGCCGGAAGCCCAGGAGAGCCAGTGGCATAATTTGGTTCCCCTCTAAAGGCCGGAGAACAGGAGCTCCCAGGTCTGAGGACAGGAGGGTGGATGTCCCGACTCCGGCAGAGAGCACACTCTCTCCCTGCCACCTTCTTGTTCTGTTCAGGCCTGAAGGACTGGATGCTGCCCACCGCCTCGGAAGGATGTCTTCTTCACTCAGCCTACAGATTCGAACGCTAGCCCATTTCCAGAAACACCCTTGCTGATGCACCCTCGCGGAAACGATGTCTAGCCAGCTATCTGGTCCTCCATCAGTCTACTGAAGTTGGTACATAAACTCAACCGTCGCAGTGTTGATGTTTTTGATATGAGAACACTGGCCTGGGAAGACAGCATTACTTTCAGAGACAAGCCTATGTGAGCTGGGGATCCCAGTGCATCCCTGTCACACCGGCCGTCCAGATGCCCCAGAGAAACCCAGCCTTCGCCCTGGCAGGCCCAGGTCTTCTCGTGGGAGAAATGAAGCTTGAAGATTTCAAAGTATACAATGAGGAAAAAAATCCCACCTCTGCCAACAGTCTGAAACAAAGTAAACCCTGTCAGGGTGTCGAAGGTGCCCAGGGGTGGTGGGAGCTCACCTTCTGGAGCTGGTTGCTCTTCCTTGGTCCAGACGAGTAAAATCATTGTGCTGAGCATTTAGTGATCAGTCAAAACTGAGTCAGATGCAGCGATCATTTGTCCTTGCCAAATTGCTTTTTTTCTTTGAAATTAGCCTTTCTAAGGACCTTACCAAACAACAAATGTGTATACAATTCCCACTCTCTGCAGCCAATTAAAACTCAGCTAAGGTGTTACCTGTAATCATTGTTGTTGATGAAAGTACCACCCTCACTCACCACCTGTCTCTCCATGTTTTCCCAGTAATCCTTTAAACCAGGTGTAGAATTAAGTGGTTTTGTTTTTTTTTACAGTATGTACTCTCTAATCCAAAAATAAATTACTGAGATGAAAAACAGGGTAGCTGCCGCGTGAGTTTCCCTGATTGGGATTCTTATAAAAGCCCTCGGCGTGGCCAACACCTTTCTATCTCTGAGAGCATTTTGGAGTTGAGTCTGCTACTGCTCTCAGAACCCATTTCCTCATTTTTTCCCCCTAGGCTCAAAGTCTACCTTTTCTAACTTCCCTTGTGGTTAGGGGGACCACGTGACTGATTTCTGGGCAAAGGAAGGTGCCCTGAGTGTCAGGCCCATGAAAATCTCCCATGAGAGAGCAGATCTGACCCAAATCTGATCAGGCAAAGCCCGTGTGTGCTTTCTCCTCTGTAGCGGCGGTTCATCTAAGAGAGTGTGGGTGATCTCTCATTGTGGTTTTAATTTGCATTTCTCTGATGATTAGTGACACTGAGCATCTTTTTATATGTCTATTGGCCATCTGTATGTGCTCTTTGGAGAAGTGTTTATTGAGGTCCTCTGCCCATTTTGTAATTGGAATTCTTCTTTCAGATGGGTAGACTTATGGGGGAGAAATTATAAATGATATATACCTCATAAATTATATACTCGTCTAACCACTACGCTGCTCACCTGAAACTAACATAGTATTGAATGTCAACTGTAATTGAAAAATAAAAATTAAAAAAAAAAAGAGTTCATATCTCTTCAAAAGTGGCTCCCAGAGAACTAGGAAGTGGTTATGGCTACCATACAGAGCTGGTCCATTAAAATGTTCATTTGGGAAATATATCCCATTAATGACTGTACCAATTTTTGCTGGCCTTTGTGGATTGGTTACTCGGTAAGGACCTGGGGGTAGAGTAGGGACTACACGATTTCCCATGGATGTGTTTCAGAAGTTCTGTAACTTGAAACATAGTTCATTTAGTGACTCCTTTTCCAAGCGAAGATTTGTCATCCCCGTGACCACCCCAGTTTATCTCCTGTGAAATTCTGTTTTCATGCAGCCCCATTTTCTAAAGGGATTTATCTACAATGGAGTGAGATTACTGGGGTTTGATGTTTTCTTTTTGTTCACTTTCTTTTTTCTCCTTGGGCTGAAAGTTCCCATCTTGTCTTTGTCTATCTAAGTCTTCAAATGCTTTTATTTCATAATAATAAATACAACTATTCAAACATAAACAGAAAAGTGGAGACTCTCAATTAGGGCTTTGTCAGAATCCTCCTGACCCATACACGATGGGACAGGGAGAGTAGCCCTGGTGAACAGGAAGAGCGAGGGGAGCCGGGGTGGGCGGAGGAGATGGGAGGGCTCTTTATCCACGATTCATCCCTCCCTCCCGGTACACGCAGGTGTGTTCAAACACAACTGACTGATGTGACTTTCATGGTGCTTCCTATCATGGTTCAAAAGCTCAGATGGTGTCCAATGATCTGTGTTTAAATCTTGGTTTGTTTCTTCCTGGCTGGGTGGGCTTTCCATTTTGTGTCTCAGTTTACTCATTTGTAACTTGGACCTCCAACCTTTTGCTGTGAGAATTAAATGAGCCAATCAATGAATGTAATGTACTCAGAAGCATGCATGGCAATAGTAAGTCAGAAGTACTATATAAATATTATTTGCTGTTCTCATTCTTGTCTTCCTGAGGCATATTATTAAAAGGCAATGGACAGGACAAAAAGAGTGAAAGAGTTTGAAGTCACAAAGTAACTGTTAACACCAGTAAGCCCATGCACGCTATTACAAGGGATGAGCTAAGCAGACACTGGTCTCGTGGGGAGGGAAGCTCATGAACATACAGTTTATGAAGATGTTCTTAAGATGAATGGCGTATGTCAGGAGGCAGTAATCTCTGACAATAAGCCAGTCATCACTATATGATTTTATGAAGATAAAGAACCAATGAATAGTCTGTTGACAGGGCCAGGGAAGTGATTCTTTTCTTCTTCCAATACCTAATCACTTTGGCAAGGCCCAGGACCTTGAGAGGACCACCGCTCTCAATCATTTCTACTCACTCATCCGACAGCTGCTAATCGTGTACCCGCCTTGTGCCAGGACTGCAAAGGTGAATGAGACCCATAGTCTGGTGGGAAAACCGAACAGGCAAATGCTGTAATTAATTCAGAAATTATTTCCTGACTGCTGTGCATTGATTGCTATGTTAGGTGCTGGGTGTAGTGAACAAAACGGACAAAAGATCCTGCTGTCATGACGCCGATGTTGCTCTAGGCAAGGGAAAGATGAAATACAGCATGAAGTGTGATGTGTGCATACAGCCTATCGGATGGTGATCAGTGCAAAGGAGAAAAATAAAGCAGAACTATGAGCCTTCCTGTGAGTTGGTGGACTGTCTGTACTTTAGTTTGACGGTGTGGAAGCTGCACGCAATCAGTAGATTGGTTTATACCTAGGAATATGCAGTAGGGGACTCTCTCTCTCATGGTGCTCGGCAGTGGCAACCAGCCACCGCTCCCAGGGAGCCACACCGTCACTGAGGTGAACTGTACAGTGTATTCGAGGATTTTGCCCAACCGCAGGCTTATGTAAGTGTTGGGAGCATGTCTAGGCGAGGCTAGGCTGAGCTAGGATGGTCGGTAGGTTAGGTGTAGTAAATGCATTTTCAACTTATGATGGGTTTATCTAGATGTAAGCCAACCTTAAGTTGAGGAGCATCTGTAGTCAGGGCGACTTCACTGAGAAGTGAAGTTCTAATAAATTAGAGCAGGTGGGGTAGCTGTAATCTAGGGATAAACCTAGAGCCTGCGGGGCAGAAGGGAAGGCCCTGCCTCCCCTCCCCACCTTGCCCCTGCCCAGTGGAAGGCAGCAACACAACTTCAGTCTCCTGAGTGTGAGTTCTCAGAGGGCAGACCTTCATTTCCTCTGGTTCGTCGTGTTCAGCCTACAGAGAGCACTGTGAGAAGACCGTAAACAGCGACCGAAAGCATAGAACGTTCAAGTCAGCCAAACAGCAAGCAGCTGGGGGGCACCAGCTATGCTCACACTCACCCACCCATTTGACACCCACTGAGTACCTGGTATGTGAGCGATGCTGGATTCTGCCCTCCGGGAACTGAGAATATAGTTACATGAATTACTGACTAACTGGGCACAGTCACACCACAAACCCGCACACTCCCAGGGACCTGCATCAGGGGCTGTCCCAGGGGACCAAGAAGCCACAGTCTCAGTCCACGCCCCATTGCTGGTGGCGGGTCCAGGCCTTTTCCAGGGGCAGCGCTCAAAGTACCTCGCGCTGCGGACTGGAGGTGAGGCCTCTGGGGCGAGCCCTGGGGTTCGAGCCACTGGGTCCTCTGGGGAAGTCCCACGGAGAAAGGGAAACAGCTCACTCCTTGCCTTTGGGCAAGGGGAGGGGACGAGCAAAGGTCCCTCCGGACCGCCCCGCCCTCCGCCCACAGAGCCCCCGCCCTCCCCCAGCCCGTCCCGCCCCCACCCCGGGGCAGCTGCAGCTCCGGCCGTGCAGTGCCAGGCTCGCGGCTGTGGGCACCCAGCTGCGAGTGGGAGGTAAGTGTGGGACACCCGTTGCAGGAGCGAGTCCGCGGTTTTCATCTCCGGGACACCCCTCCTACGTCCCTCCTAAGCGGGGCGGATCCGTCGTCTGCCCGCAGCTAGACCGCGGCCCTCCGCGCCCCTCCTCTCTCTACGTCCTCGTCCCCTGAGGCCCCTCGTCCCTCTCCCATTCTCCTCCTTCCCATCCTCCTCCTCCCCGCTGCCGCCGCCTTCCCGGGTTGTTGCAAGGCCGGCTGGTACCTCCGTCTTCCCGCGTCACCACCCCCTCCCGACTCCTGCATCCTTTGTTTGGTTTCTCCTCTCCGGCCTGGGAGGCAGGTGGACCTCGGTGGGAAACCTGGGCTCAGCACTGATTCTCTGATGAGACATTCAGTTCCCTCCGGGAACACACTTAGAGTTGAGCAAGTTGGGCCAGTTGCTTGTTGCACTGAGGAGGACCGTGCACCACAGGGAGGGGAGGGGCGAGTCTCAGTAAGTGGGTGTTACAAAGGAATTGAAGGATTTGGGCCTGTAGGTGATTTGAGGGAGAGTGCAAGGGGACAGGACTTTGCTCTGATGGATGCTGCCAGGAAGTGGGGGAGATTGTATTGAGAACCTTCCTAAACCGAAAAGGAGGGAAGACTGAAGCTGTGGTTGGCCAAGAAGAAGCCGTCACTCAGTAGCCTGGGCTGGTGATGGCAGTGGGGGTGCGGAGTCATTTGCGTGGTTGGGACAGTGTTCGGATTTTGTCTTTGGTCTGTCAGGGTTACGAGAGGTCTTGTTTTGTCTTGATTTGCCCTGACCAGAGTGGCCTTGGCTGGTGGCGATGTCTGTGACATTGTGCGTGTTCACCAGGTGAATGCCAGGCAGTGCCTAGCAATACCGGGGCAGTGGCACCAGGCCAGCTGCTGGATGTCAGGGCTGCTTCTTTTCTTTTTCCTTGGGATATGGGGCAAGTTACTTAGCACCTTTGAGCTCCACCTGCCACATCTGTAGAATGCGCACAATGCCCACTTGGGGCTGCTGTGAAGACTGAATGAGGGCAAGGGTGCGCGTACAGAGGATTTAGTCCAAGGCCTGGTGCCCAGTGGGTGCTCCGGTAACGTAGTTACCCCTCCCCCTCTTAATCTAGTTTATTTTGATGTTGAGGTTTCTTCCCTACAACTATTCAAGCAGAAGCCCGGTGATCAACTAGGGCTGCTCCAGAGGAGACTCTTGAACCGGGTATTAGAAAGAACAGGGTCCTTTCCAAGGCGGATGTGGTCATCCTGCCACTCTGAGTCAGCCTTAAAAATGCACACCGGTGATTACAGCATGCTTCTCATGCAATCATTACCTTAGTTTCCAAGGCTCTGTTGGAACTGTTTGGAGGGTTCTCTGCTCCCAGGAGCCAGGGGCCGCAGTTGGCCGTGTGCTTCTCTGACTTCGTGTTGTCTTACCATCTCGGACTCTTCCTCAGAGGCCTCTTGTCCAGGAGTCTGACTTGAGCTTGTGTAGCCTTTCCGCACTCACCATGGCGCCCTGTGTCCCGCTGGGAGCTGGGAAGCCACGCTTGCCCGTGGAATTCTGACGCCCTGTGCGAGAGCCCAGGGTGCCGTGCCCTGGGGCTTGGTCGTGAGCGTTGTGAGCTCCGTCTCTCCTGAGGCCATTTTCATCTACTTCCAAGTTGGAGCGTCTGGAAACTTGAATCTGAAGTCTGACTTCTGGTTAATTGAGATATTTTTGTGCTTGTCTGTGTTAGGCAACATGGGTTTTAGATACTTCAGCTGGCCCTGGGCACATTATTTTATTTTCCCCAGCTAGACAGTCACTTCAGATGTGTCAGAATGGTCTGGAGCTTATTATCTCCCAGTGCCAGACATGACAAGCTGTATTGTATTAAATTTCAAGCCTCTGTCCTGCCTTAGTTATTGTATCAAAAGTTCCTGGGAATAAAAAAAAAAAAGAAACAATAGAAAGTGGACCAAGAACACAGTTAAGAAAAAAAAATGCAAGGCTTTAAACAAAAGATGCTTCATTTATATTAACATGAAACTGTACCGAGATACCTGTGAGACTGACAAAAACACAACACTTTGAGTACACGCTGTTGCAGAGACTGATACTTTCACACCTTATTGCTGAGACTGCAAAATGGTCCAACCTGTAAATTATAGATGCTTGTACCCACTCGTCTCGCAACCCTTCTTCTGAAAATCTCCCTTCAGGTGCTCTTGCCTGTGTACCAAGAGGACATACATTCAGGAGTATGCAGTGTGGCATTTTCAGAATGACAACATGTAGAAAGAACCCAAGTAACCAACAATACAGGACAGGGTAAATAAACCACAGCTCTCCCACACGATGGAGCATTGAGCAGCTGTAGTGCAGAACGTGCTAACATGGAAGGATCTCCAGGATACAGTGTCACAGTGTGTAAACCCTGTTTTACTCATATTTGTATAAAGAAAGGTGAGGCTAATGGACCTGAAGAGCCAGGGGTGAAAGGGCACATGGGCCTGGGTAGGCATGGGATCTCTAGGTGTATGATCTTTTTAAAAAGTAATTTATTTATTTATTTTTAGAGAAGGGAAGGGAAGGGGAAAGAGAGGAAGGGAAACATCAGTGTGTGGTTGCCTCCCGTGCGCCACCCACTGGGGACCTGGCTGGCAACCCAGGCATGTGCCCTGACTGGGAATCAAACCAGCGACCCTTTGGTTCATAGTCTGGTGCTCAGTCCACTGAGCCACACCAGCCAGGGCTGTATTATCTTTTTACATAGTTTAAATATTTGAGCCATGTAAATATATTATGCATTCCAACATTACTAAAGAAGAAATCTCCGATTTAATTTCACAAGGAGAATATTCTCAGAGTTCCTTGATTGAATAAGCCTCATTCTAATAAAACCCCACAAAGTAGTGGCCCGTGTGCTGAGTGAAATGAATCTTGCACCCTGCCCTCGAAACCCTCAGCGGGTGCTGTCTCACTGCCCCCACCACCATGCTTCCTCCTGAACTCCCTCTCTTGGCAACTGGCACCTCGGTCTCATCAGCCAGCCTGCGCCTCAGCTCCCTCAGGCCACCTCTGGGGGGCTTCTGCCCTTCATCACCACCCTCACATCCAAGCAGATTCTGGGAAACCAGCAACGAAGTGTCTTTCCTATCCTTTTGCCACTGACATAGTTCGGCATTGGTCGTCCATCTCTCATCATGTTCCCTTCTGGTGGTTTCCTATTTTGCCTCCATAAGGTCCTTTTAAGTGACCCCTCTGATCACGTTGCTCCCTACACAGCCCCACCCCACTCATGGCTCCTGCTGCCTGGGCCCCCAGTGTGGGTCTTCAGAGCCTCGTTTGTACACACAGATGCAGGGAAAAGCCCGGAGGCTGAAAATCTAGCTTTGTAAGCAGAGGGCAGGAAAAGACAGGAGAAAGGCACACTGTGACCCCTCCAGCCTGTCAGTTAACAGGGCTTGTTCTGGGAAACCTATAAGGTGCATTGGGGGCGACTGCAAGTCAAAGTGGCTATCTGCCATGTCACTTCACAGACGGCAAAGAATTGTACAGGACAGGGCAGAATGGATGGTATGTGGCAGGTCCCCAGGTGCAGGTGAATGCCTGATGTGCTTGCCTGGGTCAGGACAAGGCTTGTTCCAGGAACTGGCACCCATGGGACATGGGAGAGGTACTGGTTCTTATCAGACGGAAACCATTTGTCACCAGCAGATAATCCCTGAGGGAGTTTACGGGACATATTCTCTGTCTGGTCCGGGTCTATCTCATAGATACAGCAGCGGTCAAGTCAGGGAAGGTCTGTCCTCTCCTGACTGGGACTGAGGGCCCCTCTTCCTTGTCTTTTGCCCTTTCCTACTCGGGAACCTGCATCAGGTGCAGGAGCCAGTCCTGGGGCCTGAAAACAATACCAGGTCTGTCAGGGAAATGGTGATGGGCATCTGAGCACAAAACAATGTCTCCTGCAGGTGACAAGCTTGCTGGTCACTATGTCCCCCCCACCTCTCACCACCTCCTGCCAGCGCTAGGCTTTGAGAATTGCTGCTCATTCGCTAGTGCATCTCCACAGTGCTTTTTAGCTACTTACTGCCACTTAGCCCACAAAAAGCAGATCAGACACCACCTACTTCAGGACAACTTCTGCGACCCTCTGCTTCTCTATGATTGAATGTAGATGCTTTTCTTTTTGTTCATTCCTTGTAGCGATCTGTGCCAATATCTAGGTAAAACCTAGCTACTTGTTTCTCTGTCCAGTCACTAAGGAGAGGAACTACTTACTCTCTCTGTATCCTAAGTGCTTGAATGTGGTACCTGGGTATAGTGGGTACGTAAGAGTAATTAATGAATGATTCATAAATGTTTCGATGAATGAATACATGAGTGATCCATTGCATGGAAGATCCTTATGCTCAGTATAGTGAGAGATCAATTCATTGGAGATGAGAACCTGGTTTTCCTTCTTTGCAGTTCTCTGCTTACCAGGAAGGAACTTTTTGCATGTTGTAGAATCCCTTCCTTAAATGTTCATTCTTGTTAATGTACAAGAACAGGGATAGGGAGCTACATGATAATCTGAGCAGTTTTTTAGAGACAAACTAGTGGTGGGTAAGAGAAGTGTTTTCTGATTCTCTGGAGGAGATTCTTGTTAAAGAAAGTGGGTTAATTAGTTCATGTCTAAGATTACTCCCAGCTCTCACATTCTATGATTTTATTATCTCTGTGGTGGCCAGACATCAGATGCAGATACAAATAAAGCACAGTTCTTGTCCTTGGGACATTTTAACCTTTGGCCATGGATAGTTGTTTGGAAAATCTTACTTTAGGACTTCCAGCCAAGATGGAGGCATAGGTAGACACACTGTGCCTCCTTGCACAACCAAAAGAAGGACAACAACAAATTTAAAAGCAAAAACCAACCAGAACTGACAGAAGATTGAACTGTATAGAAGTCTGGCAACCAAGGAGTTAAAGAAGAAACATTCATTCAGACCAGAAGGAGGGGTGGAGTCAGGCACCAGGGCCAGAGGACTTGCAGCAAAGTGGTGGCTGGAGGACCGGGTAGTCCCACATTTGCGCACCGATAAACCAGACAAAACTGGGGAGCAGGAGGGACCGCACAACCCAGGGCCCCAGCTCAGGGAATAAAGCGTCAGACCACTGATTGAAAACATCTGTGGGGTTTGAAGTGCCAGGAGAGACTCCCAGCCTCACAGGAGAGTTCATTGGAGAGGACCACTGGGACCTAGAATGTACACAAGCCCACCCACCCGGGAATCAGCACCAGAAGGGCCCAATTTGCTTGTGGGAAGTCAGGGAAGTGACTGAAATTCAGCAGAGAGTGGAGCAAGGGCCATTGTTCCCTCTTAGACCCGTCTCCCACATACAGCATCACAACGCAGTGACAAGGGTTGCCCCGCCCTGGTGAACACCTAAGGCTCTGCCCTTCACTATGTAATAGGTGCATCAAGACAAAAAATATGGCCCAAATGAAGGAACAGATCAAAGCTCCAGAAGAGAAATACAACTAAGCAATGAAGAGATAGCCAACCTATCAGACGCACAGTTCAAAACACTGCTAATCAGGATGCTCACAGAATTGGTTGAATTTGGGGGCAAATTAGATGGAAATAACAAAGGTTATGCTAAATGAAATAAGGGAAAATATACAAGGAACCAATAGTGACAGAAAGGAAACTGGGACTCAAATCAACAGTGTGGACCAGAAGGAAGAAAGAAACATCCAATCAGAAGAGAATGATAAACCAAAAAATTTAAAAAATCAGGAGAGGCTTATGAACCTCCAGGACATCTTTAAACGTTCCAACATCCGAATTATAGGGGTACCAGAAGGGGGAAAGGAATAGCCACCAGTGGAAAACTTATTTGAACAAATAATAAAGGAGAACTTCCCCAATCTGGCAAAGGAAATAGACTTTCAGGAAGTCTAGGAAGCTCAGAGAGTCCCAAAGAAGGTGGACCCAAGGAGGACACACCAAGACACATCATAATTACATTACCCAAGATAAAAATGAAGGAGAGAATTCTAGAAAAATCAAGAGAAAAGGAAATAGTTACCTACCAAAGTTCCCATAAGACTGTCAGCTGATTTCTTCAAAGAGACCTTATAGGCAAGAAGGAGCTGGAAAGAAGTATTCCAAGTCATGAAAGGCAAGGACTTACATCCAACACTGCTCTATCCAGCAAAGCTTTCATTTAGAATGAAGGGCAGATAAAATGCTTTTCAGATAAGGTCAAGTTAAAGGAGTTCATCATCACCAAGCCCTTATTAAATGAAATGTTAAAGGGATTTAATCTAAGAAAAAGATAAAAACATGTACAGTAAAATGACAGCAAACACAATTATTAACAACCACATCTAAAAAAATACATAAACAAACTAAGCAAACAACAAGAACAGGAACAGAACCACAGAAATGGAGATAATGTGGAGGGTTATCAACAGGGGAGTGGGAGGGGGAGAGAGGGGGAAAAGGTACAGAGAATAAGTAGCGTAGATGGTAGGCAGAAAATAGACAGGGGGAGGGTAAAAATAGCATGGGAGATGTAGAAGCCAAAGAACTTATATGTATGACACATGGACATTGAACTAAAGGGGGGAAATGTGGGTGAGAGGGGGTGTGCAGGGTAGAGGGGAGTGAAGGGGGGAAAATGGGACAACTGTAATAGCATAATCAATAAAATATTTTTTTAAATATTTTATTTATTTATCTTTAGAGGGAAAGGGAAGGAGAGAGGGAGAGAAACATCAATGTGTGGTTGCCTTTCGTGCGTCCCCTGCTGGGAATTGGCCTGCAGGGAACTGGCCTGCAACCCAGGAATGTGCCCGGACCTGGAATCGAACCGCGATTGTCTGGTTCGCAGGCCCGTACTCAATCCACTGAGCTACACTGGCCAGGGCAATAAAATATATTTTTAACAATCTTCAGTTTTTGCTTTTTTGAGTAAGAATGCTTACATATATGTGTACATGTGTATTATGAATTGTTAATAACTTTTGCTCATGTTTATATTACAGTGTTTAAAAATTTTATGTGTAAAAGTTTTTCATAAAGTATTCTAGTTCTTTGTTATAAAACAAGTATTTTTTTCAGTTTTCCATTTGTCTTTCTCCTTTTAAAATTGTACTGATATTTGTCTGTATTTTTTTCTAGTACATTTATGGTTTTATTTTTTCCCCAACCTCTCCCTCCTTAACCTAATCCACTGAGAATTTCCTCTGCCTATGGCATGAGATTGGGATCTGAGTATTTTTTCCCAGATGATTAGCCCGTGGTTCTAGCACCTTTTATTGAGTGATCTATAATTCCTTCACTGAATACAGTTCTTTTACATCTTTCAATGTGTCTCTTTGTTCTTCCTCCAGCTGAAGAGTGACTGGGACTTCATTTCTGGGTTAAAAAGAAATAGCTAGTTCCTTGCCATTCACGAACAGAAAAATCACAGAATGTAGAGACAAAGCACATTTGACTCTTCATGGAAGTGGTCATAAGTAAGACACAAATTGGGGTAGTCAGCATGTTGTTCAAATACTTCCAGGTCTCTAGCTTCCGTACAGTTAGTGTGGAATTGTTGTCTTTCCAGAGCATTATAATTGGCTGAGGCCATGTGACTAATTCTAACAATTCGTGCGCGGATATGATATGTGTCAGTTAGGGGACAGAGCATTGCACTGCTGGTGTGAGACTTTCCTGAACTCTCTTTGCAGTCGAGCGTTGACTAACGATGCTCAAGATGAAGGCTGCCCCCCAGTCTGGATCCCTCAGCGACTATGATGGCAAAGTCCCCTGTCCTCTGTTGGACATGTAGTGGGAGAAATAAATGCTGCTCTGTTGTTAGAATCCACTAAGGCTTAGGGGTAATTTGTTACTGAAGCATAACCTCAGCTCTCCTGACTTGTGCACATTTCCCTTTCAGTATTTCAGTTTGATTTTTTTTTTTTTTTTTGCCATCTACTGAGCTCAAGCTAGAGGCTTTTCTAGAGAGGAGGTATTTTTTCATGTATACTGATTCATGCTGCTGAGAAATCAGATACTTTTAGAAAAACAGTCACAAAAGAATAACTTGCTTAATTTGGGCGTAACATTATTTTTCCAGGTAACCTGGAGTTCTCAAAATGTTTGCCAAGGCAACAAAGAATTTCCTCAAAGAAGTTGATGATGGAGGAAACCTTATCGCAGTGTCAAGCCTGAATGACTCCGATAAGTTACAACTTCTAAGTCTGGTGGTCAAAAAAAACAGATTCTGGTGCTGGCAGAGACCCAAATACCAGCTTTTATCCGTCAGCCTGGGAGACGTGCTCACAGAAGGCCAATTTCTGAGTCCAGGTGTGTTTCTTTCTCTTCTATTTTACAGTTAGTCCCAGAACAGGAGATGATGATTCTTCTAGACACACGTTGTGCTGAGTGATTACATGGTGATTACTTGTGATTTCTCCTGTTTCTTTGCTGCGGTCTTAGAAACCTATCTTTTCTTCAAATGACAAAGTTCCACTGAACTGCCATGAAAGGATATAGCTTAATCAGAAAACAAAATAACAGTGCAGCTCTGGGAGTAAGAGTAAGACATGCCCATTGTAGATGCTGCGGCCATGCAACGTATGCGGGACGGATCTGCCACCCAAAATTCGGCTTGGTGTTGAGGTTGATGATGCCAGCTACCTGTCAGGCAGGTGTGAAATTCTATTGCTCATGTCATGAATGGGCATGGCAGGCTCCCAAGCTGGCTCAAAAATAGCTAGAGAGCCCTGGCTGGTGTAGCTCAGTGGATTGAGTGCAGGCTTGCGAACCAAACAACCATGGTTCGATTCCCAGTCAGGGCACATGCCTGGGTTGCAGGCCAGTTCCCAGCAGGGGAAGCACAGGAGGCAACCATACATTGATATTTCTCTCCCTCTCTCCTTCCCTTCCCTTCTAAAGATAAATGAATAAAATCTTTTTAAAAAATAGCTAGAGAGAGTGGGGGACAGGAGATGGAGTCAGCTTTTACTGTGAATAGGAGGTGGATGGGGCTTCTAAGGTTGGAACTTCCTGCCAGGGCCAAAGGAGGGAGCACCTGGACTTTCTCACCAGCTTGCCCGGGTGTGTGACAGGAAGGGAAGAGAGTGGGGAAGGGGGGGGACACGGGGGGGATGGCAAAGATGTCAGCAATAAACATCAAAAATGGAGTCAGACTCCGTATTATAGTTGAGTATTTATATAATGTAGAAATGTAGAAAGAATGAAAATAAACCAATAAAAATTCTACCATCAAGTCTTAATTCCCATTAACTGTTGGATTGTAGTCTTCTCTTTTCCCTCTGCATCTAATTTTTTAACAACAAAATCGGAAACATATTACATATAATTTTTGTATACTGCTTATTTTTTATTTAACCTTATATAAATTTTATTTCACAAGTTTAAATATTTTAAATTACTGTTTTCAACAAACCCATAATATTCCTTTCTGTGTTTCTACCTTATTTGCTGAGCCATTTTCCATTTAGTGTTTAATAAATAAGGCTACAATGAACATTTTGATCTGAATCTTTGTTTTTTGTTTTTGGGTTTTTTTTGGTTTTCCTTTAAGCAATTGCTTTAGCATAGATTCTTTTTTTTTTTAATTTTATTTATTTTTAGAGCAAGAGGAAGAGAAGGAGAAAGAGAAGGAGAGAAACATTAATGTGTGGTCGCCTCTCACGTGGCCCCCACTGGGGACCTGGCCCGCAATCCAGGCATGTACCCTGACTGGGAATCAAACTGGCAACCCTTTGGTTCACAGGCCCATGCTCAATCCACTGAGCTACACCAACCCAGGCTTTTCCATAGATTCTTAGAGACAGAATTAAGGGACCAGAGATTGGGAGTTTTTGAAGCCTTTTGGTGCTCACTGTGACACCACTGTTTTGGAACACAGGGATCTGTGAAAGTATCATCAGCCCTTCCTATTGGACTAAATGTTGTCTGAGTCCTCTTGTATTTTATAATTAGTTTCAAGGTTCTCCAATTTCATGAGTGCAGCTCTATTAAAGGGGAGAAGAGAGAGTGAGGAGATAGTCTGAGTTGACAAATAATCTCCACTTTCTTCTAGCCCAGCTTCCAGCCAGTCTTTTTTCAACCAGGCTCATTATCCGAGCTGTCAAGGGATGGTGTGCATGTTATGCAATCTCCCCCTGCCCGGGATTTCTGGTAGAACTTCTACTGAGGGGCAAGAGAAAAAATTCACAGAATAAACCATAGACACCCCAGTGGCTGGAACTTTGCTGCTTTGTGCTGCTGATGTGCCTCCTTTGTGGTGGCGTTTCAGGAAAATGCATGAAGATGCATGTTAAGTGGCTGAAGAAGAAGTCTCAAATATGCTAATCATCTAAGGCCAGGGCTCACCCCTGGTTCTGTGTCCTGTTGGTGTTAGGGCTAGAGTTGTCCTCTGCCTTGTCTACAAACAGGTCCTGGATGCTTCCCCCTTCAATATTTCTTGTCACTCCCAATAGCACTGGAGTGTTTGTATTACCCGGGGATGTGGTGGTTGGAGAGGTGGTGACTTGGTTGTTACCTTGGTGGTGGCCTGTTGGCCTCCTCACCCCTTCCCTTCCACCAGGAGCAGTAGATGACTCGAGGCAGAAGTGTGCACAAATGACATCTTTTTTGGAGGTGCATCTAGAGGGGATGTTGGACGCATAGACAGTCTTGCTTGTCCTTGGCGGCTGTGGGGTCCAGTCCCAGGGACAGTTTCCAGGAGCGATGATAACCTGATTGAAACCAGAACTGTGACCTGCAGATAGAATTTCTGTCTATGTAGCACTTTGTACAATCGAGGACTGTCCTGTTTATTAGAAATGACATTGTTTTGGCCCTAAACCCAGTGGATAGACTAAGTACCTGCTATGTGCTAGACAATGTCTTACAGGCTTCGCACACATGGACTTGAGACAGAATCCATCAGGTAGGCATTATTCATGACCTCCAAGTTACGCATGGAAAACCTGAGGTTCAGGGAGATGACCACTGCCCAGGGTATCCCGATGGGGATATTAGTGGTACGATCTTGAGCTCAGACCTGCCCCGTGCTGCTTCCCACAGCATTTCCCAGAGTATCCGTAAAACACAAGATATGAAAAGAAAAAGATTTTGAATTGGGGGTATTCTCACAGGCTTCCTACTTTTCCTGGTGGAGATGCTTCTCTACTTTGTAAATGTCAGAGATAATGAATGGTGATGAATCATCGCTAACCCTGGTTGAGGAATGGATGTTCTTGATTGCAGTGGAAGAAATACAGGTGCTGGGGGGTGGATTGAAGACAGGTGGCTCTGAGACTCCGTGTACATTGGAGTCTTTTATGAAATACCACCAGGAGCCCAGGAGAGCCTTGGGTCAGGGAAATGGAAAAAGCCAAGTGTAAAGTTTATAAGACACTCTCAATGTATGTTACGGAGTGATGAGGACTGAGACTATTGTGTATGGTGGTATTCGATTGGGTTAAAAATCTACACAGCAGAAATCTGGAGATTGGCAGGTGAGGTATGAGATCATCAAATATTTATCTTTAGTGTTCAGGTTAGAAGGGCGGATCTCGAAGGCCGTCCATAGCAATCACCTGGATGTGGCCACGTGAGGAGCATGCAGTTGCTAGGAGACCTGATTGAAGCCTCATACCAGGTGGGGGTGGCATTTTCCTCAGTGTATGGGGAGCCAGGAGGGTAGGCTGGCGGGTCTGGAGCTCGCGTGTTCCAGGACGGGTTTGAGGGAGGGAGGCAGAAAGGGCTGGCCCGCTCACTATCATCGCACAGACAGTGATAAAGAACTGCACGCTAAGGACTTGAGTGAGTAACGGGGTAGAGGTCAGATGTGAACAAATAAGCCTGGGGAGGGAACTATTTGCGGGGAGATGGTAATGAAGGCCACAAGAATGTTCTCCGAGGTGGGTGGGTAGGGAGGGAAGATCCCCAAGGATCAGTCCAGGTGGCCAACCTGCCGGACACTGAGCAGGGCGGGCCATCAAGGGTGTGTCCAGGGCTGGGCCTGCATGTTTTCTCTGTTTTCACATCATCTTCCTTCAGTCACTTCACCCTGGAAAGGCGCACTTTAAAATGTTCTGTTTCTTCACCAGGCTAGTGGTTAAACCGGTGCTTACTTTAAAAATACTCAATAAATCCCACAGATATTATATATGTACTTGGTTATACGTGTATGTATTGGAATTAAAACACAAAAAAAATCAGAAAAGCACCCAGTGGAACCCCCGGCTGTCCATTCCTGCCCGAGCCCAGTCAGCGCCCAGGTGCGCCGGCGCCTTTTCCTTTTGCCTGCACATACAGCTCGGCGGCCACCTTTCCATTTTGGATGCAAGCCCATGTCTCCCACAGGACTGGAAAGCTAGGTGACCTAAGGCACAGAGGCAGCCTCGTGGTCATCAGATTCCCTTGCATGTCTCATTCATCCCAGTGGTTGTGGAATCGGACTTTGTGAAATACGAGGGCAAGTTTGAAAACCATGTGAGTGGGAGCATCGAGACGGCCCTGGGGAAGGTGACGCTGAATGCCGGCAGCAAAGGCCTGGTGGAGACTCAGTCTTCGTTTGGGACCCTGAGGAAGCAGGAGGTGGACCTGCAGCAGCTCCTCAGAGACGCTGTGGAGAGGTGAGGAGACTTTTCTTTGGCACTTTGGATTTTAATGCACCTCAAATTTAGAGTCTGATCTTTCTTTGTTAAAAGGGTGACCAGTGGACACTTCGCAAATCAATAAGCATTATGGAACGCTTGTTGTGCTGAAACTTAATATTTAAAACTTTTTTTTCAATTACAGTTGACATACAATATTATTATTAGTTTTAGGTGTACTGTATAGTGATTAGACATTGATATAATTATGAAATGATGAGTCTAGTACCCCCTGATGAGTCTAGTACCCATCTGACGCCATGCATAGTTACGATATTACTGGGCGTATTCCCTGTGCTGTACTTTACATCTCTGTGACTTCTTTTTTACTAGCATTTTATATATTTTTTTCATTCGGCCCTTCAATCCCTTCCCATCTGGCAACCATTAATTTGTCTTATCTTATGAGTTTGTTTCTCTTTTGCTTATTCATTTATTTTGGTTTTTAGATTCCACATGTAAGAGAAATTATATGCTATTTGTCTTCTTTGTTTGCCTTATTTCACTCAGCATAATATCTTCCAGGTTCATCCATGTTGTTGCAAATGGAAGGATTTCATTCTTTTTTATGGCTGAGTTATATTTATATATATATATGTCAATATCTATGCCATATATTTATATTTATATATAACTCAGCCATAAAGATATATATGTCATCCATACATAAACACACACACACCCCACTTCTTTCTTATCTATTCATCTGCCAATGGACACTTAGGTTGCTTCCATATCTTGGATCTTTATAAATAATGATGCAATGAACAAAGGGGTGCATATGCCCTTTCTAATTAGTGTTTTGGATTTCTTCAGAGAAGTAGCCAGTAGTGGAATTGCTGAGTCATACAGTAGTTCTCTTTTTAATTTCTCGAGGCACCTCTGTGCTGCCCTTCACTCGTCTGCGTCCCCACCCACAGTGCGAAGAGGCTCCCCTTTCTCCACATCCTCACCGCATGTGTTTGTCGGTTTATTGGTGGTAGGCATTCTGACAGGTGTGGGGTGATATCGGATTGTGGTTTTAATTTGCATTTTTGTGATGATTAGTGACGTTGAGCTTTTTTTCACCTGTGCATTGGCCACGTGTAGGTCCTCCTTGGAGAAATGTCTGTTTAGGTCCTCTGCCCATTTTTCTAATTGGGTTATTTTGGGGTGCTACGTTGTATGAGTTACTTACATATATTGAATAACAACTCCTTATTGCATGTATCATTGGTGAAATTCTTCTCCCATTTAGTAGGTTTTTTACTTGTTTTTTTTTTTTTACCCAAAAATAAATCTAACAGGGCATCCTGCGTTTTTATTAGCTAGGTCTGGCGAATAAGGGGAAAGCAGGACCCGAGGGTGCGAGTGTCCAGGGGCCTCTATCCCCTTCATCTTCAGACGGCCCTCTCCAGCCTCGCCCTGCTGTTCAGTCTCGTAATCTCTGTTTCAAGAGCCACAGTGAGGCAATGCTCTGCAATCCCACTTCCCGATGCCGTTCTTCAAATGCTCCTTCTGATTCTGGTGGAGAAGTGGGTGCCAGTAGGGAGCCTGTGGGGAGGGGTCAGTGAGCCAAGCTGGGAGGAAACATTCTGCAGAGAAAGATGCCAGGGCTGGCAGTTATGGGCGGGACACAGGCGTCTGCTGAGTACCTACTGTGTGCCGGGCACTTTATGGACGTTAACTCGATTACTCTGCACAGTGTCACTTTTACTTTTGAGAATCTGAGAGTCAGTGAGGAGAAGTGGCTTGGGCTCAGCCCCAGAGCTTAGTGTGGGCGCTGGAGCTGGGGTTCAGCCCAGGATTCCCTGGCTCCAAAACTCCTTGTTCTTTCCCCTAAATCACGCTTGAAGCGACTGTGTAGCAAAGAAACAGGCCGAGGAGAGCATAGTGAACATGACGGCAGGGACGGAAAGGCAGAGGCGTGAGTCTGGGTCCCGGGGAGGGCGTCAGGCCCGTGCACAGCGCACTGGGCATCCTCCTGAGCAAGCCCACGTGGGCGGGTAGGCAGGTCTGCCAACCTGGAGGAGTCCGCACACGGGGATGCGACCACCTTGGGAGAGTCTCCAGAAGCCCTGTTGATTGTAGGGATGGCCAGGGGAGGGGCACGGAGACACCAGGAGCACATTTAAAGTCTAGGAATGGAAGAAGTGTCTCATGGCAGAGTCACCTCTTCTGCGTCCTGTTGCTGAGCGGCAACGGGGTGCTCCCAGGGAAGGCGGGGAGGGCTGACTCTCTGGACCCGGGACAGAGGGGTGCAGGGCTGCCGCTCCTGCTGCTCTGCTGGAGTCATAACTTCTTCCCTGCACCGTCGGCCTGTCTGAACGCCCGCAGGGTCATCGGATTGCTGACATGCTGTCTCACAGGCGCGTGGCCTTGGGAGTGGCAATTAGTCACCCGTAAGTGCTGTACGTTCTCGAGGGCTTATTTGCAGCCATTTATTTTTACTTCAGATCATTTAGATAAGTTGTCATCTGTATACAAGTTATATTTGCCCTCAGATCTCAGAGTGTTAGCTCTGTTGTCCACGAGATATGTGCACATCTCAAAAACAACTTCATCTGTCCTAGAAAAAACAAGTGCATGTGTATGTGGCTCCCGTCTGGCATTGCTGGGCATGCGGGCATTCACAGGGGTTAACCTTCCAGATACCCAAAGTGGGCGCCTTTGAGTGTTTATCCGAAAACATTCTGGATGGAAAGCATGCTAAGATAGATCAAGTAATTCTCCTCTTTTTTTTAAAAGAAAAAAGAATAACACATTTATCGAGACCATTTTAAAGTTTTTTTTTAATTAATTTTATTTAGTTATTTTTCAAGTACAGTTTTTTTGTCTGTTTCTCCCATCCCAGCCTCCCCCGCCCCTTGCTCCCCACCTCCCTCCCATTTCCACCCCCCCTTAGTTCTCGTCCCTGTGTCCTTCCTATTTGTTCCTCCAAATCCCTCTCCCTTTTCCCCTTAACTTCCCTCTCTCTCCCCTCTGGTCACTGTCCCCTTGTTCTCTATTTCAGTGTCTTTGTGTTTTTTTTTCTGCTTGCTTGTTTGTTTTGTTTTTTAGCTTCCTGTTAAAGGTGAGATCATATGGTATTTGTCTTTCAGCACCTGGCCTATTTCACTCAGCATAATGCTCTCCAGCTCCATCCATGTTGTTGCAAAGGGTAGGAGCTCCTTCTTTCTCTCTGCTGCATAGAATTCCATTCTGTATATGTACCACAATTTTTTGATCCATTCATTTACTGATGGGCCCCTAGGTTGCTTCCAACTCTTGGCTATTGTAAATTGTGCTGCTATGAACATTGTGGTACATAGGTTCTTTGATATTGATGTTTTAGGATTCTTGGGATATAATCCTAGCAGTGGAATTGCTGGGTCAAAAGGCAGGTCGATTTTTATTTTTCTGAGAAAATTCCATACTGTTTTCCATAATGGTTGTACCAGTCTGCAATCCCACCAACAGTGAACTAAGGACCCCTTTTCCCCACACCCTCTCCAACATTTGTTGTTTGTTGCTTTGTTTATGATAGCCATCCTGACTGGTATAAAGTGGTATCTCATTGTGGTTTTAATTTGCATCTCTCCGATAGCTAACGATATTGAGCATCTCTTCATGTGTCTCTGGATGTTCTGTATGTCCTCCTTGGAGAAGTGTCTGTTCAAGTCCTTTTCCCATTTTTTAATTGGGTTGGGTGTCTTCTTAGAGTGGAGTCGTGTAAGTTCTTTGTATATTTTGGAGATTAAACCTTTGTCTGAGGTGTCATTGGCAAATATGTTTTCCCATACAGTTGGTTGTCTTGCTAATTTAATACTGTTTTCTTTAGCCATGCAGAAGCTTTTTATTTTGATGAGATCCCATTTTGTTTATTCTTTCCTTTATATCCCTTGCTGTAGGGGACATATCAGTAAAAAAGTTGCTGTGTGAAATATCTGAGATTTTCTTGCCAATGTTCTCCTCTAGGACTTTAATGGTGTCACGGTTTATATTTAAGTCTTTTATCCATCTTGAATTTATTTTGGTGTATGGTGTAAGTTGGTGCTCAAGTTTCATTTTTTTGCACATAGCTGTCCAGTTCTCCCAGTACCATTTGTTGAAGAGGCTATCTTTATACCATTTTATGTTACTGCCCCCTTTGTCAAATATTAATTGACTGTAGAGAGTTGGGTTGATTTCTGGGCTCTCTGTTCTGTTCCATTGGTCTATGTGCCTGTTTTTATGACAGTACCAGGCTGTTTTGATTACAGTGGCCTTGTAATACAGTTTGATATCAGGTATTGTGATCCCTCCTACTTTGTTCTTCTTTCTCAAAAGTGCAGCTGCTATTCTGGGTCGTTTATGGTTCCATATAAATTTTTGAAGTATTTGTTCTATGTCTGTGAAATATGCCATCGGTACTGTAATAGGTATTGCATTGAATCTGTATATTGCTTTGGGTAGTATGGACATTTTGATGATGTTAATTCTTCCAATCCATGAACAAGGTATATGTTTCCATTTGTTTTTGTCTTCCTTGATTTCTTTCTTCAGGGCTGTGTAGTTTTCTGCATACAGGTCTTTTACCTCCTTAGTTAGGTTTATTCCCAGATATTTTATTTTTCTTTTTACTTTATCGAATGGGATTTTTTCCTTGATTTCTGCTTCTGCTGATTCATTGTTGGTATACAAAAATGCCTTTGATTTCTGGATATTGACTTTGTAACCAGCTGTTTTGCCAAATTCATTAATTAGTTCGAGCAGTTTTTGGGTAGAGTCTATAGGATTTTCCATGTAGACTATCATGTCATCTGCAAACAGTGACAGTTTTGCTTCCTCCTTTCCTATTTGGATGCCTTTTATTTCCTTTTCTTGCCTGATCGCTGTGGCTAAAACTTCCAATACTATATTGAATAGAAGTGGTGAAAGTGGACATCCTTGTCTTGTTCCTGATCTTAGTGGAAAAGCTTTTAGTTTTTTTCCCATTGAGTATGATATTGGCTGTAGGTCTCTCATATATGGCCTTTATT